ATTTCCAGCTAATGCTTTATATTCCCTAGGTAAATGTATAACTCCTTAATTCGGTTTCATAAATAGAAAATTGAATAACTTTGGTCCCAATCCCAAAAACACTTTAGCACTTTAACTTTACATTTATAAATCCCACTGGTCTCAATTTGACTCCCTCATATGCCTATAAGATAGATCAAGGCTTTTATTACTAAGCTTTTTTAAAAGGTGGCTGGTGCAAGAGCTTTCTATGTATGCACACACACACACACACACACACACACACACCCTGAAGTCACTAATGATGGCTCCATGATTACACTAGATATGCAAATATTATTTTATGTTTGTGACCTTCAGAATCAAGGCACTCTAAGAGAAGAATAAAAAAAAATCTAAACCCCAAAAGAAGCAGCAATTGAATCAATTGGTTGTATAGAATGAGATTGTGCTATAAAAGTAGGTTGAGAAAGGGCTTTATGAAAGTTTATAATGTTCTGAACTTGGTCATTGTGAGATGTGTACCTTGGCTGCAAATGACAAACTGGAGCCAATGTGAGGTTCCATGGCTGTGGAGCGAGTAAGTAAACAAACTGGAGCAGCCCAATAGCATCTCTCTCAGAAGGGATCCACTGAACACTTTGAGAAACACTGACCTACTATTATAAAACCCAGGTAAGATCAGTGATGGGCCATGAAAGTGAAAGCACTGCAACAACCTGAAACTGAAAAGAAAACCATAGTCTTGGAAAACAAAGGCTATGCCTAGACTGCAGGCTTCTTTTGGAAGAAGCTTTTCCGGAAGAGATCTCCCGAAAGATAGCATCCACACTGAATGGACACTATCTAGCATTTAAGCTGCAATTACTATGGATGGAGTGGCTACCAGGGCACCTGTGTTTTTTCTTCTTTCGAAAGAATTCCTTCTTCCCTGTCCACACATGCCTTTTTCTGAAAGAGGTCTTTAAAAAGAAAACAACCTCGTAGAAAGAGGTTTACCAACCTTGAAAAAAACCCCTCTGTTCTTTCGATTTTTTTCGAAAGAACGCGATTGCAGTGTACACATAAAAGTGAAGTTTTTTCTGAAAAACAGCCATTTTTCAAAAAAAATCCTCTGAAGTGTAGACATACCCTTAAGAAAGGAGACTAATTTCTCCTGCCATGAACCATCATAGTCTAAGGGTACGTCTAGACTACAGAGTTTTGTCGACAGAAGTTTTGTCGACAGATACTGTCGACAAAGCTTCTGTCAACAAAGAGTGTCTACACTACATTCAGTTCTGTTGACAAAGCAAGCTGCTTTGTCGACATGGCAGTGTAGACGCAAGGACAGTTTACATTCAATAATGCCTTCTGTCGACAGAAGGCGTTATGCCTCGTAAAATGAGGCTTACCAGCGTCAACAAAACTGCTGAGTTCTGTCGACGTTATGTCGACAGAACTCAGCGGTAGTGTAGACGCAGGGATAGTTTTGTTGACAAAACTAGTCTAGACACACCCTAAGACGGTGGAGCTGTGTAAGGGACAAACAAAATAACATCCATTTGTAAACAGTTAAAAAGAAAGGAGTTTGAAGTGATAGCTTTGCAGAACTCAGGACAACTGAGGGGCCAAGGGGGGAGGATATAGTTGCCTCGGGGCATGGTAATATAAAAGGGCATAGTGGTCCCCCCCACCACCACAGCTGCCAGAATCCTGAGCAGCACATGCTGTGTAGTGCTGAAGGAGATGAGCCCCCAGCTCTGCTTCAACCAGTGGCCCTGCAACTGTCACCTTCCCCACCTTGCCCAGGGCCTAGTGAACTCTATCAGCTACCCTGACAGAACTGAGAGACAAGCTCAAAGGTGGAGGGATGGAGGAGATCTGTGTATTTAGAATTCCCCTTCAGGATCTGGGGGCACACTGGAGACTCGGCAAAGGAACAGGAATTTTTATCTTGTGTATAAGCGTAAACCCTGAGCTTGCATCTTTATATTTATTTTCTGTGGAGCTTATATGTGTTTTCTTCCCTTTACTATTTCATCTTTGAGTCAGGGGCTTTTCTATTAAATAACCTTTCCTTTATTTTTATTCCAAGCAGGTTCCTGTTGCACAAACTGTATGAAGTATGCATGCCAAGTGTTTCATTCCTTCAGGAGGTGACAAAACAGAGTGGAAATGTCCATGTCTCTCAGTTAAGAACTTGGGATAGATGGATTTGAATAGATTTGGGATTCTGACAGCTGTTTGAGAGCTGTTGGAGTTATGACACAAGGAGTAATTAGGCTGGTGAGAACTGTGCTCTGGTAGGCTGGCTGTTGGGGTCAAATCTCTGAGTCATAGGACCATTAAGGCACCAAAAGTTACAAGCAAGTTGTGAAACAAGCCCTTACTGATCTGAATGATCCCCAACAAGTTGCAAGAATTAAACATTACAATTCCACAAAACTCTAATAGACGTTTTAGTACAGTCTTGCCCCCTACACTTTGTGGCATGCTCAGCCTAAACTCGGTGTTACGTCCCTTAATTTTGAAGCTTTCATGCACATAAACTGGAATTTCAGGAAAAAGCTACAACTTGTTGATTTCAATGGCTTCTATTGAATTAAATATGCAAATCTAGCCTATAGTGCATGTTAGTTAATTTGAAATTGTGTCCTTCTCATGAAGGCATGGATGAGAGTTTGGGATCCTTCACCAACCCCAGAGATGTAATCACTCTCCATAATATGGTTGCTTTTTTGACATGGTGACTGTCATAACATTACCCATTTTAAATATAGGTCTTTCCTTGGAAGCCTAAATCTAGTATAAAATGTGCATATTAAATGGGATTGGTCTTGCTTTGGGCAGGGGTCTGGACTCAATGACCTCCTGTGGTCTCTTCCAACCATAGGATCTATGATTCTTTGTGATCACACTGTCCTCTTAAAGTATGCTATCGTTCATTCTGGATAGCTTTCTCTCCACTGCTGCTGAAACCCGTGGCCAAATCTTAGGACATGCAAATATATATGGTATATTTTCCATAACTGACTCAATATATTTTAAAGCTTTATCATGCTTGACCCCATTTTGTGCAGTTACATTCAAAATCTGGAGTAACTCCAGATTGCACTGACAATATTCTGGGTTTGCTCCACAATAACACATCACAATCTGAACTTACTGAGCCATAGAGCTGGTTTTAGTATATATCCATGGCTGAAATGAATTATGGGCCTATGTATGTATCCAAAGCCATTTGTAACAGAGTATCATAAAATATCTCAGTTTAATTTATGCCCTGACTAGCTGTGCTGTACAACAGCCTTCTGGAGCATCTGAAATGGGAATTAGTGAGTCAAAACTATCCCATCAGCACAACAGCTTGCAGTTATAGGAAATCTATTCAGAAAAACACTTTAATTAACATAATATTGAAACAGTTTTCATGCAGTGGAGAATAACAGGGTTACGACCTGCTTTGTGATTTTTTCCCCCCCATCAGAAGCTTCATTTGCTTATTGCTTAGACTTATTCATACTTGTCTTTAAAACTGCTTTGGCTGTATAGCAATCCTACCACATTCATAGATTATGGGATGTTTCTTGCAGCACAATAACTGAAAAGCCATTTAATATTGTTATAGACATTAACTAAATTAGTTTCCTTTTAAAAACAAATTCATGTACATCTGTGCTTTCACTTTCCACTTTCAATTACCACAAATGTACCTGCAAATTAGGGAATGTGAATGCAAATAGGTATTTGTTGATGTATGCATTTGCTACTTAGAATTTTAATCACAGAAAAAATGCTCTGTTAGAAGTGTGTGGACCTGCAGCATTAACAGTTTCACTCATGCATTCAACTGAAGCCTTTAAAAAAAAAGGGGGCTTATTTTTAACCCATGGCATTCTCTCCCCATATTCCATCTGCTATGGGGTCAAAGACTCAACAGCAAATAAATGTAATCTGTTTGGCATTAGCAAATAGATCAATAAAATGAATATATTGTTTGCCAATACATGCACATCTTTTTGTTGAACGAAAAGTCCCGTTGGTGAGTGAGAGATGGGGGAAAAGTAGCAAATTTATTATATGGACTATGAAGTGGAAAAATGAACATAAAATACACCCAACAGGGCACTTCAAGTTAAAAGGTGTTGTCACCAAATCCTCAAAAGCCAACCATCTTAATTTCAAACCTCTGTAGTTCTTTTAAGTTAGAAGTGTTGTGTATTGAAAGTTGAAGTTTCATTCTTTCTTGCTTTGCAGGAGCAACCAGAACAAAAAGGGACAAGACTTCCTGATTGCAAATAGAAGGGAGTTTCCATGTGGGGAAATACAGTGGGAAGAAAACTTAAATTGCTACCTTTTCACAAAGAAAAGGAATGCATCCCTATCAGAGATAACCTCAAATAAAAAAGCTCATACACAAAGATATATAAATGAAAAAGTTCAATCTGGATCTTCATTTTATATCCCAGACCCACTGGTAACCCATGCATAAAGAAGCTTCCAGCTACAGCTGATCCAAGAGCATAATTTTTTAGAGGAATCTCCTGAAGACCTCATTTGTGGCTCCAAAAGGAATAACTATGAAGGCATTTAGCTCCTGATAAAAGGTAGCATGGGGCTACAACAGGACAGATTTGATTCCTCTTCCTGGTTACAGGGACTCCACTGACTGTGGTCAACAATCAACTCCCTCTTAAGGGCCACAGCATTTCCAAAGCCAGATTTCCTCACATTCTCTCATTTCTACCCAATGGTAGGAGGATTTATTCCAAATAGTCTAAGTAGGCACAGGAGAACATTGGAGAAGATAGAAAATGTTCTATGATAAACAGTAAAAGCCCCAAGACAAATAAGAATATTTTCTCTGTGGCAATAGAACAGACAACTTTTCAGTTTAGATTCATTTTTTTTTCATGTCAGATCTACACAGAATTCAGTTAAAAATCCCCATCTGCTCTGAACTCATCTTCTGGCAACAGGAACTGCCAAGTGTCTGAAATCACTTTTTCCCCACATAAAAGACACATTGAGAGCTTTACCTTGGCACAATGGAATGCGAGAAGGGAAAGTTTTGAATTCCTTTGTGTATGTCCAAGGTGCAGGAAAATCCAAATTGCTGCAGAATCCTTGCAATAGTTGATCCTATCTTGCCCATCTTCCTCCACCATGTTACCAGCATAGAGACCTTCTAAAGCAGGGGCGCGGAATCTTTTATGGATCAGGGATCACTGATCAACAGAAAAATCAGTTCAGTGCTACACACAAGTGAAGAGGAACCAAACCACAATTTTGGTACCCAACAGAGAAGCAGGATAAAACCATTCTCACCACACTCCAACCTCAGGGGAAAAGGGAGGGAGTCCCCAAGGCTCAGGGCTTACTAACAGGGCTGGATTAACGCTTTTGGAAACCCAGGGCTAGTAGTAATTTTGCACGAACACACACACACACACACACACACACACACACCAGCTCTAGAGTGGGGCCGAAAGAAAGCACTTCAGTGTGCTGGCAGGGGCTGCCTGGGAGCAGACTGGAAGTAGGGCTGTGGGGTCTGGGTGGGAGGTAGGGTTCAGGAGCAGGCTGGGGGTGAGTGAGAGTGTGTGGTCGGGGGGGGGGAGGGAGAGTGCACAAGCTAATATAAATATAGCTGAACTATAGATTTATGTCTTTTATTAATATAGAGTCCTACAACTGCACAGGTTTTATTGTCTCGGGAAATTTCCTCCCCTCTGACATTGTTAAAGTAAATCTGATTAAAATGATGTTTTCCTTCTTTCTTTGAGAGAGAAATACTTCTTTCTTTACAACCAAAGAGTTTAATCTTACTGCTTGCGATGTTCTGTGGCATACATACTTGATAACTCAGCATTATTTAACTGAGAGATTAATCTTTATGTAAATTCAAGTGAAGGAAGAAAAGAAATTCAAATTCCATGTCTTTATACATGAACTGGTATAAATTAGATGTGTCAAAAAATCATATGCATGGAAAGAACCTCTATTTTTGTTTAATAGATTTGCCATACAAAATTCCATAAGCCAAACAATAACCAAATATGAAGTAAGAGTTTTTTAAAGACGTTATTGCATATTGTTTATTAGTGAAGTGTTTCTTTCAATTTAAAATGAAATGAAAAAATTATTCAGGTACCTATCAATATTACCTCAGGTGATAGAGAGACAGTTAATGTATACTGGGAATGGCACCCATTACCTGTGGGCTATAACAAAAACAAATGTTAAGTGTACATAATTTAGCATGTTCTTTCTGGCAGGCAGTATAGCAAGATGGGAGAGGCTTGGATTTGTTCCCATTTGTCTGGAGCTCAGATCTACCATCTCTTAGAAACATTCAGCTTGTTCCCCCTTAGAGTGGGTATAGACATCTAGTTAGAGGTGTAAATTCCTGATTTAGGAGACATAGCTATGCTATCTTTGACAAAGTTAATGCAGGAAAACAGAGTGTAATCAGGGCGATGTAAGCAACAAGATGCGATAGCCACTTAAGTATTATGCCTAGCATCTCCAACAGACACATAGGGCAGCTAGTCCTGCCCACTGCTCAAGACCACCACAATTATGCTATACTTAGCATAGTAGTTCATTGAGAGCTAGAGTATTTCAGCTCAAAGACAAGACATATGCTCATTGCTCCCATACAGCTCCATGTGCCTGTGCAGTGGCGGCACTAGGTTTGGACAAAAGACTTGTCTCCTCTCGTCACTCCTTTAGAAGGTGTTAATACAATCTATTTCGTCTTTTTTTCCCCTCCTACTTTACACCTGTGCAACATATAATTACAGTCTGGCCCCCTATATTTCTACAGAATATTCATGTACAGCTCCCTGATACCTCTTCACTAGGATACAACCATTCTCTTAGGGTATGGCTAGACTGCAGGAGGGAGAGGGAGTGCG